CCCCCCCCCCCCCCCCCCCCGCCGATTTAAGTGGTTAGGATGCTATGAAAATTAGAAGGAAAAATGACTTCCAGAGTACCAAATTGCAACTCTGATTTAAAGCCCCTACTTCCAAATCTCGGTGATTACAGCAGTTTGATAAGCTCCGTCCAGGAGTCTTGTTACTTTTTTGCTTTATTCCTTCATGGGTTCTCTTTCTAATGGTTTGTAAAAGGAATGAGGAAAATCATCTCAGTTTCTCCCTTTAAATAAAACCCCCCTCTCCCCATATAATAACAGGGAAGTGCAGGAGGGAAATGCACAGCAGGCAGCACTTCAAATTTTGACATCTCTTTTGCAGCATTAAAAATAATAATAATAATAAACAAATGAGCACTGGTCCTTGTGCTGGGTAATATGAAAGTGATCGTGGTGGGAGGAGAGTTTCAAGAGTCATTAGCAGACCCCGAACCCAATTTCTTCCCCCAACCCAAGCCAATGTGCTGGCTAAAGGAAGGACATCCTGTGATGATGGCATACAATGTCCTGTTTGTTTATTATTAAGAGCATTCCTGTTTCTCATTGCAAAACAGCCAGATGCCTTACTTCCTCCAGTGGTCCTGTCCCCACAGCAAGGAATCCTCCAGCTCAGAGGAACAATGATGCATGGCTCCATTTACAGCCACATTCAGCCCATCACAGGCATAGGCTGAGGCAAACCTCATCTATCTCCAACACCTTTCTCGCTGCTGCCCCAGCACTGCCTCTCTGGCAGGTGCACACCCAGCCCTTTCCCTCTGCCTGTTCCTCCTTCCCGATAAAGCACGGTGAGGAGGATTACTTTGCCACTCTTGGCCCGAGGTGCTGAGAATAGTACATCTGTGTAAAGACCTTCATGTGCTCTGGCACGGAGGGCTCACGGCTGCGGGCAGAAGTGGGGCAGCTGCCTATGAGAGGTGTCCTGCTGTCACCGTCACCCTGAGGGACTCTGCCAGAGGTGGCCCCGGTGCTCGGCTGAGGGGTGTGAATGGCATTGGCTGCGTGGGGTAGCAGCCAGGCACAGACAAAATGAGGGCTAGGAAGGCTCTGAAGGAGGAAGAGACACTCATTAAAGGAGAGAAATCCGGCCTACTTGATTGGGTTAATTAACTGATGCTGAGTCACACCGCATAGAGCAGAAAAACAATGTAGTCATACTGAAGGTGATTATTTTACCAAAAAATAGTCTCACTTTGAGAGGCAGCTGTTTCAGAGCTTTTCACTTCCCTGTTAGAGTGACAGGAAAAAAAGAGGAGGGCACAAGAAAAATAGGGTTGGTGTATCTCCTTCAGGGGCTGATCTTAATGCGAAGAAAAGCAGGAAAAGATCAGATCCTTCCTCCGAGGAGGGAGAAGAGGCAGAAGACAGATCAGGTGAGACGAAGTGACACACTCACTGGGACGACATGAGGATGCCAATGCCAAGAACTCTGCCAGAGCCCAGGAGAGTAAGGGCAGCCCACTGAGCACATGAGCTGCCAATAACTGGCACACTCTGAAGTTGGCCCAAAATCAGCCCCCGGTGCTGCAGAGGGGAAGGGATCTCCCTGGCATGCAGTGCTGACCGATCCCAAATAAAAGCAAGTTTATCAAGGAGAGAGAGAACAAATTGTAAAGAATGCGTGCTGAAGCCAGATCATAAAGGAAGCTCTGCTATTAAAGAAATACACAGATTGACCTTCTGACCTTCCTCTTTAATAGAGAAACATAAAAAGATGCCCTACTCAACCGGCAGCCGTCTGCTCTTTTATAAAAATCTTTCATACCAGTAGCCGCTATTGTCTGGAATGTGCAATTTCAAAATGTTGTTCATTTCAAAAAAGAACATTTTTAGTCATATTTTCATTTTTTCCTTCTCGCTCATAGAAAACCTCAATTACCGTATTAATCAGCATTTCTTAGGCAGCTCTCTCTGCAGCAGCTTTCAGCCTGGCAACAAATCATGAATGGCTCTAGCGGCTCTGATCTCAGAAATCCCCATCCATTTCCTTTGATGCTATCACCACCTCAGCTCAACAACAAGCGGAGGCCTCGGCTCAGCTGCTGCCGCTCTCCCCGCCAGAGCGGGAAGCGTCGGGGGAAGGAGGAGGGCAGGGAGCCGCCTCGAGCCTACGAAACTTCTTCAGAAAGTCAGAGGAGAGATAAAATGCACACGAGAGATTAAAGCGCAGTCTCATTTTCACATCCTCCCCATCCCCTTACCCAAAAAAGGTCAGTGCCGGATTGACCACATCAAGAGTCACTACCAGACCCACCCCCTTCCCCACTTCCTGTATGTAGGCATGTTGGTGCTAGTAAACATTTGGGGACCAGTTGTGGTCACCACTCAGAGAAGGTAGGCGATGGAGTTGCATGACTGCACTTCTTCTAAAAGAGGCAGCACTCAAAGAAGAGCTTCCTTCCAGTTCTGCTGAGATACACTCACGTTTCAGGGCCGTGCTTCTGAGAATGTGGCCTGTGCCAAAGTGAAGGCATGCTCTGATGGCTGAGCGACAGGGTGAGCTAAAGCCTTCTGCCCACACACCAACCTGACCTTTCCAAAACACAGCCTATGGGCTCCAGATATGATCTCTGAGGCTTTCTGTGCCCTGGACTACTCCAGCACGGGACTGCTTATAAGGAGAGAAATTAAAATCACACTTGAATCTACATGAAGGTTTTTGCAAGGGCTTTTGGGGCGGTGTATGTTGTAGCCAGGAGGCTTTTACATTAACGTGTGCAGCTCTCAGGGACTGCCTTTAATTACAGAGCACCCTGGCCACTGCCTCCTAGCAGTTCCAAATGCCTGTACGTTTATTTTGGTCTCTGATGTTCAAGAGCAAGAGGAGACCTTTTGGCTGCACTCTACTGCAGGCCTTGATGGCTCCTTAGATTTCGATGTTCTTTGATCCTCTAAAGAAATGTTCCCTAAAAAGAGAAAAAAAGAAGCCGAACGAAGATGCCATTTCCCTTTTTGTTTCCAGCTAGGCCTTATTAAAATGCTGCTCAGATGACTCTGAATAAGCTCAAACAATCCTCTTCCAATAGAAAAACAACAACAACAGTAACAAAAAAATAA